GCCTCCTCAAGTCGACTCAACAACTCGTATTCGGTGTTCTTGGCCTTGTTACCCTGGGACTGCAACTCCTCTACCAGCTTCCCACTCTCCCTGAGTTCGATTCTCAGTCTGGTAACTATTTTTGACGACTGTTCAGTTTCAAGGGCAAATTGGTTTCTCAGCTCCTTGTTCTCTTTGGTGCTCTTTTCCAGGCTGTTTGTCATTTGGGCAATTTGGTCAATTTTGTCTTGGATTTCTGATTTCACCTTCTCATTTTCCTCCTCAATTGAAACAGTGCTATTTTTCAATGAATCCACCTCTTTTGCCATGGCCTGATTGTTCTCCTCTGCCAATTTGAGACTGTTTTTCATTTCTGATATTTCTGTTTCCTTTGCTGTGATCATCCTGTTGAATTCCTTTTTGGAGCTCTCGCCAGACTGGGCCTGAATCAGTCGCTCACTTTCAAGCTGCTTTTTCAGGTCGCTGTTTTCAGCCTGTTTTGTTGCCAAATTCTGCTCATTGATTTTGATGCTCTTCTCCAACTGATCCATTTTGCTCTGCTGCATGCCCATCTCCTTCTTCTGCTTCACAATCTCCTCATTCAAATTGGTGATGTTGGTTGACATGGCACCTTTCTCACTTTCTGCATTGATTAGGTCATTTTGAACACTCTTGAATTTCTCCACATTTTCAGTGACTAATTTCCTTAGACCCTGATTCAACTCCTCAGCCGTGTTCAGTTTGTAGGCGTATTCAGTTTGAGTGCTTNGGTCGCTGTTTTCAGCCTGTTTTGTTGCCAAATTCTGCTCATTGATTTTGATGCTCTTCTCCAACTGATCCATTTTGCTCTGCTGCATGCCCATCTCCTTCTTCTGCTTCACAATCTCCTCATTCAAATTGGTGATGTTGGTTGACATGGCACCTTTCTCACTTTCTGCATTGATTAGGTCATTTTGAACACTCTTGAATTTCTCCACATTTTCAGTGACTAATTTCCTTAGACCCTGATTCAACTCCTCAGCCGTGTTCAGTTTGTAGGCGTATTCAGTTTGAGTGCTTTCTACCTCGTTACTCAATTCCACTATTCTGTTTTTAAGTGTCTCAATATTGCTATCTTTATACTTCTTTTCATCAGTCAACTTCTCAATCTGCTCCTTCAAAATGCCTATTTTCTTGTTGAATTCATCCACCTTGAGCTGCTGATTTCCCATTTCAATCAGTGGCTTCACCTTCTTGTACAATTTCCACCAAAGTGTCCTGTTCAATGCCACGTATCCACTCACATTCTTGCATATCACCTGGATGCTGTCGTTGTAGATCATTTCGTAGTTCTTCTTGCGCAGTTCAATCCGATACCTGAATACGCCCTGGGCTGCCTCGGCCAGTCTCGTCAAATAGAGAAGTCTCTTTTCTTCCAAATCACCCAAAATGCCCTGTTTGAAGAATATTCTGCTTTTACCCGTTTTGTAGTCATTTTGGTCCAGAAACCCCTTCTTCACGAATTGAGCGAGTATCCTGTGACACATCTCCTCCTTTGGCACCTTTTCAGTCTCATCTACGATGTAGTTGTACCTGTTACACACTTCTGTAAATGTGAGTCTCGATGGATACCCAAGTCTGCTGATTCTGAGACCTTCCAGAATTCCATTGCATTTCAACTGATCCAAAATGAGTCGCTTATCCAACATTCCTGCTCTTTTGTTCAAATTGGGCAGAATGCACCTAACAAAATGAGGTCGTGTTGTTCCCAGCATCGTCATCAGATTCCTGAGCTGCTCCCTGTGCCCCTGGGCCACTGTCCTGAAAATGCCCTTTTTCTTTGAGTCGCTTATTTTCCCAATCAGCTCGTCCACCTCCTCTGATGAAATGTGCTTGTTCTTGTCTATCCAATTCTCC